GGTGGTTTGGTCATGTGGAAAGAATGGATGAGGAAAGAGTGACAAAGAAAATTTATGTTGCAGAAGTGAATGGCAGAGTCGGAAAGGGACGTCCTAGACGAAAATTTATCGACCAAATTGGCGATTTATTGAAAACGGGCCAAATTAGGAGTACTCTTAACCGACGAGCATGCATGCGTAGATGTATGGATGTGAAGGAGGCGAGAGAGGTGTATCAGGATCGTGCCAAATGGAAGTCTGTAGTCTCTGCCTACCCCTCTGGGTGACAGGCGTGAGTGTTTATGTATGTAAAAAGTCACAGGCTATCATTTTTGGTAGTCAGAGCTTTATCTCAAGAATTGACTGGTTCTCCATACCACCTGTTGTATTCGATGGGGTTGTGATCCCTTACTTTGACAATGTCAAAAATCTTGGTGTTTACCTTGATAGTTCCTTAAATTGGAAACGCCAACTGAATGAGGTAAGTAAGAAAACCTTTGTCGCTCTTAGTTCACTGCGTCGCCTTCGATCATTTCTTCCCATTCTTACAAAAATTATGCTCGCACAGTCTCTTCTCCTTCCGATTCTCGACTATGCTGACGCAAGCTATGTAGACATAACTAAAGACCAGCTAACTAAGCTTGAGAGACTTCAAAATACTAGTATTCGGTTCATATTTGGATTGCGCAAAGGGGGACACCCATTTTCGGCCATGGAACGCCCAACAATGTGAATTTGTTAAAAAATTATATCTTTATTTATGGTTATTAATCGCGGTATTCATTTATCCTCAAACAATGGGAATATTTTTGCACAAATTAAAAGTACCGGAAACATAATAATAAAAATTAGGTAAATCATTATGTCATTAGTTTGTGAATAAAAAAAAGTGTTGCCAATCACAAAACACATTTAAAAAATCGATTCTCTTTTTCGATCAATTATTTACGGTGTCATCATTACAGTGCTAATATAATTTTTAAATAATTATGATGTTACGATAATTAAACAAGCGAATTACTAGCTGATTTCTAATGAATTCTTTAGAGAGTAACAAATGCTACGGCACAATTTAACTGTTAATCTTAACCGATCTTCTTTGAAAACAGATAAGAACTGTTATTCTTATCTGTTTTTAAAGAAGATCGGTTAAGTTATTCTTATCTGTTTATAACAACACATTTAAAATAAAATCATGTTATGATAACGAAACAAGTTAGTTTCCAGCTGATTTACCATGAATCCTTTAACCTTTTGAGCGCCAAAGTCGTCTATACTTGACCAACACCTGCGGGCCCTGAGCGCCAACGACGTCTATAGTTGACAAAAAACCCGGCTCCGAAAAATATGAAATATAGATATTGGAAAATTATTACAGGTATTTTAATTCTACACTCCTCAAAATAGGAATAACCCAGCAACATGTGAGTATAAAAAACAAGTCTTCTAGAGCCACAAGTACTAAGAAACATTGAACTAATAAAAATGGATTTTTATCTAAGCAAATACTATGTCCAGCACGCCAAAGTCGTCTATGGTTGACCGCTAGTGTCAAACGCGGGAGGCATAGATTTCTTGAAAACTATCCAAAATTCAGCTCAATGGTGTTTTTTTTCTATTATTATTGATATTTGAATAAAATTAAAGGTTATAAACATAAAACTATAATTAGCTACATGAATAAAAAAATGTTATCAGATTATCTTCGCATAATAAATCTAATATCTCAACTCTAGCGCATCTTTAGCGCGTCATCGAAAATCAGTTCACTGGGCACCGTGATCAAGGATAGACGACACCCTGATGACGTCATAAGTGATTACCGAGAAAAGTAGAGCAATGCAACATGAACGATTCCTCAGAACTCATTCGGATTTTGGAAAGCGTCGATGATGATGAATTTTGATTTTTGATTGATGAATTGAATTTTTGATTGATTGGTGAACAAATATGTTTATTTATTCCATGACCAAGATTTTAGTATTATAAGGCTGATTTACCTAGTGCGAATAATTATATACAATTGTTGATTAATGAATAATTATGTACCTTTTTTTAATAATAATACAAAATTACAATTAATGTTTTTTTTACTTAGGGTGTGAAGAGCAATTTTTCATTTTGTGTTGTGCCATTTTCTTTCTCAGTCTCAAAATCATCTAGCAGCATCAGCATCATATCAAATCCCCATTGTCATAAGAGTGTAAGACTTTTCTTCTGTGCGTCACTTGGCCTACGCCTTCCCCGACACATAAAATATTATGAATCGATGTCTGTATATTTCGGTTAGATCGATTTTGAAATCGATACACAACATTCTAAGAATGTTTCAAAAGGGAAGGTCAGCTACGCCGTTGTCGTCCAGTCGCGACAGTGTCGTCATTAGGATGGAGAGTAGTGCTAATGTTTACTACTATTTTATTGTTATTGTTTGTTTTTTATTTATGTTTATATGTACAAAGTACATATATAAAAAAGAGTGGAAGACGGCACAAGATTAAATAAAACATACAGTTTATTAAGAGTCATTTATAGCATAAAAAACCAACAAAAACAAGTTATTTCACGTTATCGATATATCAACTCTTGGCAACACTATTTTGTTTTGGCGCTTTGGCGTACAGGACACGGTAATGCGTTTTTGGCGTGGCGCTCAAAAGGTTAAAGCTTAACAAAACGCAACTGCACAATTTTTATCAATTTCAAGACAAAAACAACCGTTGTTATCGGCTTGGTTGAAAACGTTAACAACCGCCTTCACATCTGTAGTTATGATAATTAAATAAGCGATTTAATAGCTGATTTACAATGAATTCTATGCAGTATAACATAACGCTACTGCACAATATAACTGTTATTCTTATCTTTTCTTAACAATACATTTAAAATGAAATCATGTTACGATAATTAAACAAGTGAATTTCTAGCTGATATACCATGAATTTTTTAGAGCTTCATAAAACACTACTGCACAATTAACTGTTCTTAAAAATACACTTAAAATAGAATTTAAATAAAAAAGGAAAATACATTTTAAAAAAGCGAGCAGAAGTTAAAACACCTCCAAGATTATTCTCTTTTTATGAAATTATTAATCGAATAATAATCGAATCGCTATGGATATTATGATGTTATGATAATTAAACAAGCGAATTACTAGCTGATTTACTATGAATTCTTTAGAGTACAATAAAATGCTACTGCACAATTTAACTGTTATTGTTATCTGTTTTAACAATACATTTAAAATGGAATCATGTTATGATAATTAAACAAGTGAATTTTTAGCTGATTTACCATGAACTGTTTAGAGCATAACAATACGCTACTCCACATTTTAACTGTTCTTAAAAATACGTTTAAAACATAATTTAAAAAAATAAAAGAAAATATATTTTAAAAAGCGTGTAGAACTGAAAGCGAAACTCAAATATTATTATTTTTTCATTAAATTACTAATCGAATACAAATCGATATCGTTTCGTTGTATTTATGTTAGTTATGTGGCAACATCAAATCTGACAGCTATAGGAAATATGTCATGCGAAATGAAATCACAATTCAACAAGTAAAAAGGTACTAGTGAATTCACAACTAAATAGTTGCCATTGTGTTATTTTATTTGTTATTTTTCAAATAAATTCTCAAGAACTCATATGGAGTGAGATTGTCGATCACATTATAGTGTGACAACAGTTAAAAGTAAGTGTTCAACAGTTTTTAATTTATTAATTCTAGTGCTGATATTTGATAGTGATGAATGTATGAAATGATGAAGTTGTTTTATTTTTTAACATATGCACAAGCTATACCTGACAAACAAAATAGCTTATTTGTAACACGGCGATAAGATTAGCTAGCTAACACCAGATAGTTACGAAATGGACAATTTTTATCAAATACCAAGAAATAAGACAGTCGATTTTTAATTGTTTTTGGACTACTGGTAGGCAGTCAGTCCTTAATTATTAAATAATATAGGGCATTAAGTTTTAAGTAACATTTACCTATATTTGAGTTTAAAGTAAACAAATCTATTTTATTTTGTTCACTTTGTCTTATTTTTTTTATTTAATATTATTTCAGTTGCCATCGTCGTCGCGTGAGTGTCATGATTGCGAAGGATTGATAAAGCAGCAACACGTTAAACTTTAGAACGGGAACCATCTGAATCATCTAGTCCATCCTTGTAGCAATCTAAAGTGAGTAATGTATTGAACCTAGAACAACAAAGCTTAGATCATACATCATACAATATACTGCAGCCTAATTTTGTAAGAGCACCACTCACACAAAATCAATGTTTTTTCCTGGTTGTAACAATTCCAATCAACTCACTGTTCCATCAGAATTGCGGGTATGTATTTTTGTGAATACAATTACTATGTACCTCCAGAATGTAGAATCAGTAACTACCATTTAAATAGTAACTCTTGGTATTTACTTTTAGAATTAATATATAACCATATTAAAACATTTAGTGTAGCACAAATTATAGATTTTTCTACATTATTGTAAGATAATATTTACCATCATATAGACTTTGAAAATATTTACAATATGCCCGAATATACTGTACATTATTATCTACGCTTATCAAAGGCACAATGCCAATAAATTCTGTCTGAAGTGCCCAAAATGTCAAGTAAACATAGTGGATGAACTTTGCACTTGCTATATATTTGATGAAAGTAAGAACAGGAGATAGTGATGAATGCATATAGGCATTATTGCAAGTACCAAGAAACAAATTAGAGCGGCTCATGAATATGGCCCAAGAAATATTAAATCAGGATGTTGTTCCTATGAATTTTATCCATCGTTATCACTCTCTGTGCCAAATTCTATTCAGTAATTATGATATTATATCTGAGGCAAATAATTTCTTAGCTTTCCCTTTAGATGTTTTTGTTATCCAAAATCCTAACAACATCATAGGTCACACTGTGTATAGAAAAAAGACCCATACAAACTGATATTTAAGCGGTGAATCTCACCATAATCCTTCACAGTTAGTTACCATGAGCAAATCTTTGTTACAGAGAGCATATGGGATCTGTGAGAACAAGCACCTGGCCGCGGAGCTTCAGCACGTCAAGCAGGTTCTGCACAAAATCAAGCTTCGGGTCCCACGTCTTCGTCACAGTGACCGAGTGAAGCCGACCGCAGTTGAGCGTGTGCCTGATGTACTACCGTATGTCAAGGGTGTCACCCCAACCAGATAGACATACATCAGATTTGATAGACCACAAATCCTCGTTAAAGAACATTAATTCCTACCAAGGATGATATGTGAGGCTACTGAAATTAAAAAACATCCTAATTTCAGTAGAGAAGACGGTTGGGTACTACCACCTGCTTGGGACACTATAATTAATAAAATTAAAACAAACCCCAAGCATACCACTGCAAGACTTAAAGATAGAGTAAGTTCAATCTGCGTAGATTGGACTATAAAAATAATAATAAAAAGCTGAAGGTACTCCATGTCCCAATACTGACATTGGGATGGCAGTCACCTCAGTACCCCGTGACCATGGGTGCTATAAAGCACCTGAAACGTCAGGAATTAATAATAATAGTATAATAATAATAATATAGCCATTTATTTCCGAACTTTGGGGTTACATAATATTTGTGTTTGAGTTCCTATTGTAATACTAGTTAAAGTAAGTCCCTCTGTTCGGTGTGCCTTTTGGCATAGGCCTCCAAAAAGAAAAATCACGCGTCGGGAATTAAAAGTTAAAGAAATTAAAAGCAATAAAATTGGTAAAAGTAGTCGTTAAAAAACTGTATTTGTGAAAATAAAAAGCTTTATATCATAAAAATCCCGACTTTTTTTAAACCAATTCCTTAACCATTTCATTATTTTAATTGCATATTATCATTTCCATATGCTTTTATATGTGGGCACCCATGGCCGAAGTGTCTATGAACAGTGGGCATCCCCCTTTGACCACATTTCCCAATTTCGCTCACGTCTCAAGTGGTTACCTATCCAATTTCGCCGGAACATGCATATTCTTTCTATTCTGTACTGTGTCTTATTTCACCCTTCTACTCCTCCTTATCTTAAGGAGAAATTTAGTTTTGTTGGGCTTCCAGGGGAACCTTTACGCTCTTCAAGAAAACTCATTTTAAGGGTACCAACTCACAATACATATTTCTTTAATAAATCTTTTACTGTACAGTCTATTAAGCTCTGGAATGCCCTACCTTTGTATTTACGCGAAGCTCAGACTATTGTAGTCTTTAAGCGACTTCTTAAAGAGCATTACTTGTCTCAATCGTTCGAAAATCATTAGGATAAATTATGTGATTATGTAGTTTTGTATTTATTTGTTTATGTATTGTTAGTTTGTATATTGAGGATATATGTATGTATATATGTGTATATATATGTGTATGTGTGTATATGTATGTATGTATATGTATGTATATGTATATATATATATATATATATATATATATATATATATTGTGTGTGTATGTTTATGTACATACCTATGTATATGTGTATCATATTTTTTTAATTGTATTAGTTATTTACTTATATGTTATTTTATTGCATGTATTGATATTATATTAGGTATATTTATATTGCACCACCTACCTAGTACTCACTGTTTTATTCCTTTACACCTTTGGTTGCCTGGAAGAGATCGCTATGTAGCGATAAGGTCGCCAAATTGTACATGTAACCTGCTCTCTGTTATGTTCTTTGTAAATTTGTTTGTGGTGTGCAATAAAGTATATTCATTCATTCATTCATTCATTCATTCATTCAAAGCTTCTTGAGAAGATAGTTAATATCCGTCTGCTGAAGTATATCGAGAAGTTGAAGCTAGTTTCTGATAGACAGTTTGGGTTTAGTGTAGGGAAGTCCACTGAGGATGCTATTAATCTGCTGATAAATTAAATTTCATCAAAGGTGGATAGTGGTAAATGTAGTCTTCGTATTTTTCTGGACCTTTCTAAGGCCTTTGACACCGTGTCTATACAAATATTGTTGAAGAAGCTCGAAGGTTTTGGAATCCGCGGTACTGCTAGGAATTGGTTTCAAAGCAATCTCACTAATCGATACCAAAGCGTGCAAATAGGGCCCGATCACACAAGTTCCCAGCTTCAGGTGACCTTCGGCGTGCCCCAGGGCAGTATTCTCGGGCCGACCCTCTTTGTTCTATATATGAATGACCTTCTAGAACTCAAAATACCTCAGAGTGAAACAATATGTTACGCAAATGACACCGTTGTCTTATTTCATGGTCGATCCTGGAAAGAAGTAAGAAAGCTGGCCGAGAACGGTATGGGTCAAGTGGCTGGGTGGCTGAATCGTAAATTGTTGACACTTAATGCGAAAAAATCCAAATACATGTGTTTCCACAAAACTTGTGCTTCGAATCCGTTGATGCAGAACGACATTCCAGTCCATACCTGAGACATTCTGCAATATTGTGACTGTGAGGGTATTGCGAGAGTGGAGACAATCAGGTACTTGGGTGTAATTGTAGACCACAATCTATCCTTCAAACCGCATATCTCATGCCTCTCAAATCGAGTCAAGAAGGTTATTTACATAATGAAGTTGCTCAGGAACTGTGCTGATAAAAAGACACTTCGTATGGTTTATTTTGCCTTCTGCCAATCCATAATACAATATTGTATATCAGCTTGGTTTGATGCCTCCAAAACCACGATGTTGCAGTTGGAGAGGGCACAGAGAGCAGTTCTCAAGGTCATGTTTAAAAAGCCCTACCGGTACCCTACGGCCGATCTTTATCGGGATAGCGAGGTTTTGAGTGTACGCCAGTTGTATATTCTATCCGCAGTTTTAAAAACCCATCGGCAAGTATTTCAGTCGCCTATTTACGACAACCTAATCACTAAACGAATATTTAAAATCCCAATTCCGGCTGCCAGGTCTGTTTTCGCGCAACGTCTTCCACAGTTCTCACATCCTCATATTTATAACAAAATACTTAAAGTCTGTGACATCAAAAATTGCACCACTCTGAAAGCTAAACAAATAGTAAAAAGATATCTCACCACACTAAATTATAATGATACCGAAAACTTAATATTAAAGCAAAAATAATACCAAATTATATCTACGTTTCACACTAAAATATTGTATTCATATTTTTCCTGGGAATAAAAATAAATATTAATGTAAGCGACAAATAGTTAAAAACTATCTTCCTAAATTAAGAAATAATTTGATGTTCTGTATAATTTGGGTACTTTTAATTACGTAAGTAAAACTGATAACCGTACTCCTGGTCCCCAAGATACCTGCTATGCCTAGTTTGGGGCCCGCCAGTAACTTTTTTATATGTAATAAGAATTTATATGTAATTAGTATTTAATTTAATATAAGTTAAAATTAATTTAATATAACTCACTTTTTTCCCAATGTTCAGGTCTGTAGCTCTATTTATAGGAATAAATGATTTTTTATTTTTTATTATTTATTTGCTTTAGACAGATCTTCAAGAGAGGACTGCGTATAGATTTGGAGATCATCAGCATACAAGTGGTAGGAAGAGGACAAATTATGACTTATAGAGTTAATGAAAATTGCAAACAGGAGAGGAGACAACACGCCACCTTGTTGTACACCAGCAGCTGTAGTAGTCCAGGTGGAAAAAACCTCTTGCACCTGAATTCGCTGTCGGCGACCAAACTGGAGATATGTTGAGAGAGCGCAGGATGCCTAACAAGATATCAAAAACTACAGTATTAAATGCATTACTAAAATCGAGCAACGTAAGAATGGTAAGTTTTTGTTTCTCCATACCATACCGAATTTCATCAGTGATTTGTAAAAGTGCAGTAGTCGTACTATGGCCAGGACGGAAACCGGATTTCAAAGGATTTAAAAGATTATGTTTTAAAACTTTGGAAAAGAAAGGTAAAATAGAGATAGGTCTACAATCAGAAAATCTAGACTCTAGAGGGATTCGACTTTTTCGGAAGAGAATCTACAAATACGTCTTTCCAACCTGAAGGGAAAAAGCAGAATTCGGTGAATTATTCAGGATAGAAATGATTATAGGTAAAAGGAGATCAATGACAGGGATTCCTATTTTCCGAATAACGCAGTCACTACGAATCGAATTTGAATGGATGGACATTATGGCTCTCTTAACATCACAACTGTCAAATTGGCTAAATTAAAAGCAGAGGTGTCCGGAGTGGTAGCTGTTGAAAGAGAGTCCAAAGTATTATGTTTTGCTTTATCGTTAATGCAAGACGAAGATGAGAAATGCAAATTAAATTGATTGAGATCAAAGTTATGGTGTGTGAGATTTTGTCGTAATTTCCCAACTCCTAAGGACTTAAGAAATTTCCAAACCCTATCGGGGTCAAGATCTTGTACTGATTCATGGATATGGCGTCGTTGTGCTTTTCTACACAGGTTGTTGCAACGATTTCGTACTAATCTATACTTCTCTCTATTCAATTCGCTAGGAACTGACTTGTATTTAGATTTGGCACAATTTTTAATGTGGATGATTTTTTTCATATCATCGGTCAGCCAAGGAGAGGGAGGATGCTTTATACGCACTGGACGAACAGGAGCATGAACGTCGTAAAGCTGAATTAACAGCGTATAACACTTTTTAGGGCGTTACTCACCGGCTACGGTCATCGGAGAGTTAAGAGACTCGAGTATCAAAATAAAAGTATCCAGGGCGCCTGTGGTTGGATGATTAGTAAATGAAAATTCAAAGATACATATACAGACAAAAGGTAGTTTATTTCCTTCTAAAGTTCATACGGATAGCTCCAAATATCAAGTTGTCACTTTAAAATACCCTGGGACCTGAGGTTTTGACTAACCTGGTGGATTACACAATATTACACTGTTTATGGTCAATCCCGCGAAGCAGTGAGGTAACAAATGTCCTCCAGGTGTACTCCGGTCGCGGTCTCCAGGCTGTCCAGTCCCAATATAGCCACCAGTTGAAGCTGCCTCGCCTCGTTCACATAGTTAAACTTGATAATGGACCATACTCAAAGTAAGGACTATGGACCCCTATGATAAGACAAAAGAATCTATGAAATACCATGTACCGTTAATTAGAGCACATGTGCTTTTAAGAAGACAAAAACATTAAGTACTTACAATTTATGGGATGATGTGTTTCAACACATTAAACTGCCTGTAGACATTGTGTTTAAGGGGCCGTACGCCCAAGTACTCGTCACTTTAAATTTATGTTCCGGCGTTTCGATTCAAAAATTATATATGTGCGTGTCCGATCATTACAACGGCTCGCTCCAAAAAAGACTAGGCCTCCCTTGGGCTACGCGCCACAGTCGATCCGTGGTAGGATTTCGAACTAACACGAAAGGTCAATTGCATGCAATTAGCTAGCTCGATTCGTCAATATACGTTTCTAGTTAGTTCGGACTAATGACG